TAGCCCGCCGCCTCCCACGACCAATCACCGTGGTCGGGAGGTGCGTAAGCCCGTTCGTTTTTCTGACTATGTACAATGTAAATACTTTTAGTTTTGTAGATATTGTATATATTTGCCCCGTTTTTGGTCGATTAACGTTTTGAAAACAAAAACCAAAAACACCCTAAAAGTCTTTTTCTAAAAAATATTCAAAAACCAAACAGTCTAAACACGCAACTCATTCGTTTGTTCTTTTTGGCATTTTCTGTGCGCATTCTCTATTTTCTTGTCCCTACGTGCCACAACCCTCCCCCTCGATCGACTGGCCCACACGAGTAATGTTTTCGAGGATCGACGCAGTCAACGAGAATCCTGACGTAAACGCTGTTCGTTTTTTCCGCGGCATGAGGGTCACTTTTTCGTGGGACGAGGGTCGTTTGAGAGCGGGTTGGGCTGCAGCGGAAGGAGAGACCACTCCCAAGCACACCGTTTGACAGCAGCGGAGGTTGAGGTCCTGTCGGCTTTTTTCTGGGCTATCCAGTTTATTTTGTAGTCCGATAAACCCGCTCCAATGACTCGTCGAAATGCACCCTACCATGCAATCAATAAATAATAACTCACAAACGGCACAGCGGACTCCGAACTCCGGCGAACCCATTTTTGACCCGAACGCCCACTCACACACTCGGCACGATTTTGACCAACCAACTTCTATTCACCCGTCATTTCCGACATCGAAGGCTTTCTATGTTCAGCCTTCTAGAGGGGGAGCTCTGTAACTCCCCAAAAAGCAACTGTTATCTTTTGTGTACAATTTCACTGATGACCAACTGTACACTATTCTTTCTTGTTTTAATCTCCTTTACATTTTTTAAATGTTGGTTTACTTCCGGCTCAACACTTGGCCGCCTTGTAAGTTCCCGCGCTCATGTGTTTGCTCTTGTCTCGCTTCATCCGTTAGTGTCTTCTTGTAGCCCATTGAATACAGTCCGCTGTGTCCGACTCCAATTGCCTTCTGATCTCCGGGCCTAATTTTGCGCACCTTCTCGGACTAGTATTCACTAGTTCTACAGATCTTATCTATGCCCGACGGATCCTAAGAACTTGGACGCGAGGTACAAAACGCTTCGGCTCAACCTGGACAGCTGGACACGGGGCCACAAGTGGAAGTGGTACGAGAGCAGATTACTTCACGTCAGTCCAGTGGCTGCCTTGTCAACCTGTGTTATGAATTATTGGAATAGCCTATCGCAGATCATTGTTGACGCAAGACAAAAATTTTCAAACGGATGATATACGACCATCTGATGAGTACGGCAGGTTTCTGCTGCTCCTACTGCAGCGGTGACGATCCTCAGAGGAATGCCGCCTCGTAGCCAGCCGCGTTAAACTGAGTCGGAATCGACGGAGCTAACAAGGTTCTCACTCCAGCTCTTTACATACCACTATATGCAACCTATGGTACTATTGAACTCGTATCGACTTAAATCTTGATCAACACTCAATACCGTCGACCGGTGATCGCTTTCTGTTTAGTTGCTTTGACTATTGTAGCTGCCGACCTGGGCTTTCGGTTATCGTAGATAAGGCATCATGCAACGTCCGGTTTAGAAACGAGCACATGTGACTTCGGATATATTGGAGCACATGTGGTGTTTATTTGCATATCTTGACCAAAATTTGGCTTACTAATGCAGACACATAAGGTCTTCATCAATGTAGGTCCATTAGGTGGCTTAATTCAGGCAATTTACCGGCTATCTATGAAACTTCACGTGAGATGGCGGCTACCATATTGAGTACTCCCGCCACTAATAGTGATGCTGGCAGAGCTTGGTTTCGACATCAGACTGAAGCTCAAAAACAGAGTGTACTATGCCACTGTCTTCTCGATTTTGTTGTATGGCTGCCAAACCTAGTTTGCACTAAATATTTGAGGCGACTGTAATATCTCCATCTGATAGCACCATGATTTCTGCAAGTACTGCTATGTCCCTGCTAATCCTCCTTCAAGCTCAGTTGGGGCATGAACGATAGGATAATCCCGTGAATGGTCCTTCTGCGTATCCTTGAACCGGGAATTGATAGGCGGTTTGAGATTTTGATAAGCATAGCATAAAAACCGCATCATGCCCTTTCCAACCATTTCCTGCCCGCCAGTCTATGCCAAGGCAGTTTATAGGAACTAATAAAGAGTGATTGGTAAGCTAAGAATGTCAGCTGATTAATGATAATACCAAGGTATATGGTGAACAGAAAAACAGAAAGCTCAAGATATCAATCGGTTAGGTGAAGGGGAGGGTTTGCTACTACCACCCAAGAACATCTAACTGACGCTCGAAACCCTCGGTCGTAGATTCTCTAACGACGTGTGCCGGAGGCGAGTCCCACCTTACAATAACTCGGTGCGCCAAACGGGTTTCCGTCTCAACCCGGTCAGAATGCAGTTTATGCAGCTTAAACGGGTGATCGCTGAGACTAGACAGCTTAGCAGAAGTAAATAGCCTGACAAGTCTGGGTCGATATTACTCGTTAGTGTACGGTGAGTGTTTGACAAATTTACTGTTAGCTCGTGAAAGTTGGGCAGTAAGCACTGGTCACGCTATTGACGCACTTTTTGTCAACTCGGAAGTCTTTGCCACGGTCTTCCATCTACAACTCTCAGTGAAGTTGAGGTCTTATGGGACCTCTGGTGGCGGTACTAAATAGGTGCCTTCTTCTCTAGAGGGGAGAACGGTGTGCCCGCATGGGACGGCTCCTTTCGCTTTGACAACTTGTTCTTAGTGGCGTTCTGCAGGGCTCGATTTTAGGGCCGTTGCTTTTCGCCATTTATGTCAACGACTTACCCCACGAGCTTGTAGTACCGTCGTTGTTGTTTACTGATAATCTCAAGCTCTAGAATATTGTGCATATCCCTGGGGGTTCTGAGACAAGTCAGAATACCTTGGATAAGCTCTGGAATTGATCAACTTTATGGTTAATACCTATAAATCAGGCGAAATGTTCTGTCTTACGCATTGAAGTTTCTACCCCTCCGCCGCAGTCCATTGTCACCCAGCAGGTTAATTCTGACCTCGTCCATACATCAGTCCGGGGACAATTGCAGGTAGGTTTCTTGCAGAGGGTTCGGTATGATGTGGTTTATTCGCTGCTGCTTCGGTGTCCTAACGACCAATATCTTTGTAAAGCTTTTCTCAGCTTTTGTGCGACCCTACTTAGAATGCTGTTTCCAGGCTTGTCCACGATGTCTTTTGAAGGATAAAGTGGAACTGGAGAGGATTTTACGAGTGTGCACACGGTTAGTACAGTGGTTGCGGGAGCCCGTAGCCTCGTGGATAACCAGCGTGTATCGCAATGCAGGGGCGCGGGTTCGAGCCTGCGTAGGGACCGGGCGATCCTCACAGTATCCTCGGCCCACACGGCAGTGAAGCGTCGGCACGGCATACCGGTGTATTGCTTATGTGTTTTTTCGATTTTTAGGGGTTAACTTATCCCGAACGTTTGCTTGGCTTGAGGATCTACTCAAGGCACTGCCGGAGAATCTTCGATGCTTCTTCACCGCAGTTGTGTTGTACTGACTTACGCTTTTACTGGATCTCAAGCTGGGTAAAATATATCCAACTTTATTTGATCTGCTCAGTTCCAATATTCTGCTGCATATGCCTTGTCAATTTTACCTGTTTATTTTCCCTCAGATTTTGTGTTGATTTTTTGATCTCCCCGATGTGGCTGCGCTTTATGTGAAAGTTGACAAGGTACTTAGCTCCGAAACACCGCAACTTCTGTTCCAGTGACGAAGTGCACGATCCTCTTGACCGTGCTAGTCTCAACGAGTGGTTCCATCCATTGTGGAGCGGACTCCGCCTCGTGTACGTCTGGTACGCATGATTCCTAAATTAGATGGATAGGAATGCTGCTGTTGTGTGTATTGAAATGTTCATGAACTGTGGCTTCCATCCACATGCTCCTCGTTCCTATTCTTTCGGGTTTACACTAAACATGAAGTGTGTGGATGGAGCTTTGGGTGATTCATCGCAAGCCACCCGTAGGACCTCTGTAGGCACAGGCGTCCCGTGGCTATCATATGAAGGCCGCAGTGACAGGCGAATCCAGAACCGGATTATGCCAAACATATATGTCAACAAGGCACATGTGGTGGGGTCAGTGTCGCTTAGGATGGTAATAATAAAAACAAAAAAATAGTAATGCGTCAGCTGTACGCCGTAACGGCGCTTCGCTGCCTCGCGACCACCACCAGTCGCGCGCGGGCTGAGTATGCCGCGAGGACGCCCACCCCTACGCGGATTCGAACCGGTGACCTTATGGTTGCAAAGCAAACGTGCGGACCATTCGGTCACCGGCGATGGATTGTAGGCACAGATGGTAGGTACAGTAGTGACATTTGCTTTTTAATACGGTTTAAAAACTTGGATACGATGTCGTCACTCGGAAGGGTATATGTGGAATCTGCACCGTTTGCGTAGACGCAACAGCGATTCCTGTGAGAAGACTTATTCTGTTACCTGCGCCGTGACAGTATCGTAGAGGTAAGCTCAGGCAAACTCCGCACCAGTTTCTTGGAGCTATGCAAGTTCTGCAACACTGTCTCCCGATGTGTGACCACATGTTGCTGACTCTAAGTGGTTGTAAATCTTGAAGATAATGACTCGAAATCAATGGTCTCAGTGCTATTCTACCACTTAATTTCAAATTCTGTTCAGTATTAAACAAAAAATACATAACGATCTTCGTGTAACATGAAAAAGACCACATCCATCTTTTGGTACTGTCTTCTCTTTGCTAAACAAGACTTTCCCTTTTGTTGTCGCTATGCTTCTGATGACGGAATCGTTTGTGTTCAGACTTGTGAATACATTTGTGTTATTTATTCATTGGCACTATTGGTCCTTGTCTCTCTCATCTGCCTTGCTCTTAGGTTCCATTATAGTCCAGCCATCTAGGTAACTAAGTGTTTGTGATAATGACGTCCAGCGGTTTGCAACTACTTGTTTCGTATTTCAGGTCAATTGCGGCCGATTTTTCCCGGTGAACACTGAAGTATTCGAAACCTTGCAGTGCCAGCACACTACATAATTGTCTGTTTGCCCTGTACTTTGGATGAGTCGTCGTGGGCCTTGCGACCATCATTCCTCTGAACTGCTATTCTGCCTTTTGCGAAGTAGCTGCTGCCAAGTAGTGAGTTGCTTCTTTCGACATTTACATTTCGATAGAAACGTCTTACACCGCGCCAGTGCTTGCAGGACGACAATTTACCTTCGGAGTGCCAACAAGTCTTCCACGCTTTCAATCTCTGTCGTTGGGAGTTGGTATGTGGATTTCCTTTAAAGTATAATTTTCCAGGCTGATAAACGTTCAAGGCTTCGTGGTAGAAAATATGCTTCGGATGTGTAGATGACCAAACCATGGAAACTGTGTTTGTAACAGTGGGAAGCACTTCATTTGATGACCTAATCGCAACATCCAATCAGCCGGCATTCCATGCTGCTTTATGGCGCCTTGGTTACCGTAAGCTTGTAGTCCAATACGGCGCAGGTAGTGTTCTTCCAACTTCTCCTTCAATTTTTTCTGTCCGGAAAGCCACGGAAAATGAAGGCTACTCGGCAAATGCTTCTCATCCTCTGTTACTAGACAGCTTTCGTTACAAGAAGGACATTAGTGATGACATTGCCGTCTCTTCACTGGTTGTTAGTCATGGCGGTGCGGGAACATGTCTACAGTCGCTTCGGTCTGCCAGTTGTTGCCGTCTGATTGTTGTGATCAACACCACTTTGTCTGAAAACCATCAGGAAGAACTTGCATTTGCTCTGGCAAAGGGGAAGCATGCACTGCTTTCTGAGCTGAGTTCACTCGTGCCTCTCCTTTGGCATGGCGTCTGTGAATGTCCATTTCGGTTAGAACTCCCTTGGGATGTAAGTCATTGTATTCGTAGTCTGTCTACTTCTTTACTATTATATCATGCATGCGTCCTCTGGCACTGGTATTTTCCCTTGCATCCGAAAAACGGGTGTGAGTATGTTGGGGATTGCAGTCCATTAGCTCGACCTCCAGCGGTTCGTATTTTTATGCTCTCACAACGCAATAGAACAAGCCCCGGTCTTTTCGGCAACGCGATTCCCGACGTTGATTTACGATTTTAAGATAAAAACTTATGGGGAGTGACGTTTGTTTTGATGCATAGGAGGGAACGAATGGAATGTATGGCATCCAACAATACACTTTCCTACTGAGTTCTCCCGAAGCCCCCCGATCTGAGGGATAAAGCACTTGATTTCCAGGTGACTCACTTGATACGTTCCAATGCCTTGAGGTTTTTGCGATGTTGTGCAACTGACCGCGATTCCTTTCTGATTTGGGAAATGCTGCAATTCCTGAGACATGAACGACGAATCGCTGTCAGAATGAATATAGGGCGACACTCCGAGGACTACAATTTGTCAGCTTAAGCAGCTAATCGCAGCTGAGGTGGTCATGTTGCTACACATGTTAGCTGAGGGTGAGAAACTCCTCAGGTAATTTGCCGCAATACAAAAGATAAGATACTAAAAATTTCATTACAACGAATTCAAAAAGCAAGTAGTATAATACTTAATATAATGGTATGCATTTCGCATGCGTTCGTAATTAGTGGGAATCTAAAGAGGAGGAGGTGGACAAAGAAACTCAACGTCACACACACACTATATGCGTTAGCTCGAGGTGGGAAACACGTCAGCTACTGTGCCGCAATACTTAAAAGAAAAAAGCGAATAAAATGCAACAGGTGCAAGCCAGCTGAGCTACCGGTAACGGATGGGATTTTCCGGTAAGCTACCCGCGGGCCACTATGCCAAATAATGAGATCGTGGTTGGAGGGGAGGCTAAGAGGGATGGGGTGGGCAAAGAAACTCACAGCACGAAAGCCAGTGAGGCCGGCTCCTTGCTATGTCAACAAGTGTATCCAGCCAAACGTGTTCCTCGTCTTTCGGACCCCAACCAGGGAGTCGAGACGCGCCAACTGAGGCCAGCTTCGAAATGAGGGCCTTCATTCCTCTCGACCAAGTAATCGCTTGGCCACCCCTCCTCTTCTTCCATCCACACCCCCGACGCGCAAACAGCGCACGTCGCGGGAGTCGGTGGGCTGGCATGCGTAACAGGTGGCGGAGCCATCGGAGCCTGGTGCGTGAAATAACGATGCTGAGCGGTTCAGTTCTTTTTCCTGTGCCGTAAACAAGGCGTCGAACACGCTCGTTGCTGACTCGGTGTTCCCACCAGATGTGAGCTAAATTGCGAAGGCACCGGTGGTCGAACGTAACCAGCCTCTTTAGGTCCGTTGATCTAAGGGGCCAGCTTTCACAACCACACAGTATGGTCGAACGTACCGCTGCATTGTACACCCTATCCTTCAAGGCGAGAGTGATGTCGCGCAGGCGCCAAAAGTGGCGCAGGTTAGCAAAAGCACCTGGAACTTTTGCTTTATGGTTTTCTTGATCTCATCCTCAATCCCACGGGCGCTGATACAACTTCCCAGGTAGTTGAATTTTTGAACGACTTCTAGCTGATCGGAACCAAGAGTCAGCAAAGAAGGCGGTCCAGGCCAATCTTGGAGGAACGTTGGCACACTGATGGTACAAAGCAAAGCCCAAAACGGCTGACAGCCAATGTTAACCTGTCCAGTGCCGCTTGGCACCTCTGGGAGCTGTCACAGATGAGGGAAATATCGTCAGCATACTCCAAGTCAAGAAGTCGTTCTCCTCGGAGCAGATCCACACTTTCTAAGTCGTGTCCTGTGAACGCGATTTCCATGACTTCGTCAATAGCGCAGTTGAGGAGGAAAGGTAACAGCAGACCTCCTTGTGTCACACCGCTTGAGATATTGAAGGGCGACGACAACTTGCCGTAAGCACTCACTTTGCCTGAGCCACGCGCGTATAATGATCGGATAATATTTACATATTTCTCAGGTACGCATTTCCTGAGTAGACAGTCCCAAAGTGCCCGTCTATCCACCAAATCGAATGCACCTTTGATATCGAGGAACACGGCAACGGTGGGCCGCCAATATATGTGACGGTGCTCCAATAACTGACGCAAAGTGAAGATGTGGTCAATGCAGCTACGATCTCAACGAAACCCGGCTTGATCTTCACGAATGTGGCTTTCACAAGTGCCAGTCATTCTGTGAAGGATGACAGAGGCAAGTAATTTGGAGGTGATGGAGATCAGACTGATTCCTTTATATTTGTTGCATTCCGATCGTACGCCTCCCTTGCAAATTGGGACTATGACGGAACGACTCCAGTCGGTTGGGACAGTTTCCTGCTCCCACAGTTTCACTAGTAACTCGTATAAATCATCCACCAGAGCAGAGCCCCCGAATTTCGATAGAGCTGGAGGTAAATCATCTGGTCCCGCCTCTTTATTTAACTTCAGCAGTGCGATCTCACGTTCGGCTTCTGAGCGAGAGGGTGGATCCAAGGCGACAGCCCACGGAACGGAGCGCTCAGTGGCCGGTGAGAAATCTAACAATTCCGACCGATTAAATTACATTTCCAAGTGCTCAGCCAAACGCTCCAAGCGTTTTGACAATTTGTGGATAGGCTATCCACTCTTGTCACGTATAGTTTCACTATGACCAAGTCTCCTGCTGCCCGTTTCCCTTATCAGCCGGAATAACTTACGATGGTTACCAAGGGCAGCGGCCATTTCCATCTCTGATGCACGATGAGACCACCAGGATTCGCGGTCTCTCTTCAGGCTAGCACGGAGTTATGCCCGGAGCTCTTGGTGAGTTTCATCGTGTTCACTTCCAGCCGGAATATCCCGGCGAGCATCGATATGTTCCAGAGACTGCGGAGAGACCCAATGTCCATGTTGGCGATTAGACCTACCACATGAGGATTTTCCTGCTGCTAGTAAGGTCTGGTGAATATGAGACCAGTGAGCTTCAACTGCATCCAGTGAGCGCTTGCACAACTCCCATGGCAGCGTACTTTGATAGGCATTCAGAACAGCTGGTTTCGCCAATTGGCTGGTGTCAATGCGGTCACATCGTCGTCGTGGGCGTCCGCCAAAACGCATCCGCAGGTCAGCACATACAAGTGCATGGTCGGTATCCACACCTGTGCTCCAAATCGAGTGACAGTTCTGGACGCAGCCTCTCCATCGATAACTTATCGCAATGTGATCGATTTGCGTCCATAGCTGGTTCGAGGCTGGTGGGCGCCAAGTCACCCTCCGGCGAATGCTGTATCGGAAATTAGTGCTCGCAAGAAATAAGCGAGCATCTTCACACGAATGTTGTAACCGCTCACCGATATCATTATCATTATGTTGGCCACGCATATGCAGTTCATCAGTGGATAATTTTCCAACTTGAGCCTTCAGATCCCCAGCCAGCACAACAGTGTCCGAGCTCCTTCTGTGGCGAAGGAGCTCGTTCAATTGGCGAAAGAAGTCGTCTTTTACCGAATCATCGCTAGAGTTTGTGGGTGCATAGGCAGCGATGACGAATAGACACCTGTTAGTCCCGCGCGACTTCGAAACTTTGAACGAGCCAGCCAATCGGACCGCACACAACCGGCTACTGATTGGAATCCAGTTAAACAGAGCAGCTTCAGCCCGGGGACTCAGGGCAATACCAACACCAGCTTGGCCGGTGCTCGAAGCTGCATCGTCACCGGATAGACGCAATGAGAACGTGCTGCTGGTGTCACCTGAAGGGGATCACAAAGTGAGCACAAAGCTCGAGTATTGCAGTTGGGTCTCCGATAAGCAACAGATATCGATCGAGAGGGTCTCTAATGTTCGGGAAAGTGCTGCCTGTTGACCGATTTGTAGCAATGTGCGTACATTGAGGCATGCCAATCTGAAGGATGATCGAGGGCTCCAAATGGAAGTGGATGAACTGGGCTTGGCCGCTTAGTTGGATATGGGCTTGTCGACAGGACAGGAATGACGCTCCGCGTTCACATTTGAGTTGAAACTGGAAGGTAAAAGCCTAGCAAATCAAGGTGGGGGAGGGCCAAAAATTTGGGGGTTGAAAACAGGGGGATAAAAGGGAAGCTGGAACGGGAGGGTAAGAGAGAAAAAACCTAAAAGGGGAATAAGAAGATGGGAAGGCTTGGGCAGTAGCATCCAAACCCCTATCCACCCTGCTCGATGCAGCGGATAGGGCACCGTTGATTATCCTCTGCGGTGGCCAGAACATCGAGAAACTGTTTGAAGAGAAATTCACAACACCAAAGCCACTGAGGTCGGCTCTTCGCCATACCAGCAAGTGTGTTTAATCAAACGTGTCCCTCGTCTTTAGGCCCCCAGCCAGGCAGTC